GGATGACTTGTCAGTCCATGAGCAAGAAAGACGATTTGGTGACATTGATTTACAACATGTCCCAGAAACAACAGAGTCTATTTCTCGAGAGCATGAGTCGTCAAGGGCTCCAGAGGGCTGTGATGCCTCTACAGGAAAATCCACAGACCCAGTTGGACCAAGGAGTCCAAGGCCAACCCGAAGAAAGGTTAGACCAAAACGTTACGAGGACTAGAGTAGACGTGACTTTGGGAAAGTCAGTTCAGCTCCCATGTCAGTGTACAAAGGAAAATAATGGGAAAGGGAAGTGAAATCAATCAAAGCAGCCCTTAAGGTCACTCTCCAGGAACAGACTGTTCCTTAACCAGTGCTGCATACTTTGAAAGTAGAAGTCGAGGGTATTCTGAATGCCAAACCTTTGGGCTACTTGTCACAGCCAGGTCCTGTCTGACGACTTTTGGTCAACATTCATTCGCCACTACTTGCCTAGCCTCCAGGAGAGTCAGAAGGGGAGGATGGAAAGCAAGACACTGGTGGTAGATCAGGTGGTTCTCATTGTGGATCCACATCTTCCGTTGGCCCTCTGGCCTACTGGAACAGTGATTTAAACTCACCCTGGAGTTGACGGATGTGTAAGGACAGCAGCTGTCCAAGTTAAGATAAGACATATGTTTGCCCGGTAGCTTGCCTGGTTCCACTGCCACAGCTCCATGATGAAGACACTCCAGGGAGAGCCTGAATTGGCTTTCTCCCGGTTTCTCATATTTCCAGAGAAATTCGGAGGCGACTGTGTACAAAAACCCCTCTTCATGTTCCTTTACAATCGGCACATGGCAGGAGCGTATGTTGCTCACACATGTCAGAGGAGCACACACCTACTCATAGTCAGTACGGCTGCGGAGCAGTGACAGACGATTTATTAGTGTTCAGCATGGACAATTAAGTCTTTAATTTCCTTTGCAGTGTGTGTGAGTGAATCAGGTGAGAATCTGTTAATGTTTCCTCAACTGTAGGATAAGTTTATTTTATTCAAACTTGCATACTTTTGTGTAAGTCTTAGTTTCTGTTTGTAAAATTATTAATGCGCCACGAGGTGCGCTAGCTAAAAGTACTAGTGAATAATAACCCAGTTCTCTGAATACTGAGTCTTTACATCGTAAAAGTGGAAAACTGCTTCACCAGACTACATTACAATTCTAATAGGAATGTTTATGGGAAGAATTATGGCTAGATATTTTCCTTGCTTTTCAGAACCACAAACAATAAACAGTGGTAACCTCCCCTCCCGTCCTCACAATTCAGTCTTTTTGGGTAAGGGTCTATCAGCACATCTTGACTTGGCAATATTTGCCCACTTTTCCTTCCATTGTGAAGGCATTTCCTGTTCACAGGCCTCTTCAGGTCACCCCACAGCCATCTTTAATTTCTTCCACTCAACCTTGAGGACTCAATTCGGGCACAGGTAATGGGGACTCGACTTGGATTTATCTTCACTGACTTGGACTTCAGTTCTTGGGACTCAAGACTTGACTGGGATTAGAGGTTTGTGGACTCTGTACTGTTCACACTGTAACTAAACCAAATGTTTTTTCTTTTTACTATAATAGTTACCTCAAAACAATTCAAAATACCTGAGCGATACTTTGACAATGTGTCTAGCGCTGTTGTTATTTCTGTATAACTTGGTATTTTCTCTGATACAGTAACATAAATGTATTGAGGTGCTTCCACAGATTAACCACAGGGCTGATTGGACCAGTGTCCAGGGGCCTCTGACCTCTAGGGGCCGTTCAAAACTCCACCAACTGTAGCATCCTGGCTTCACCTTTTTCATGAAATAAATAGACAAGTCTGCTTGTAGGTGAAATATGAAAAAATTAAAGCAGTTACTTTCATTGCAAATAAGAAAAGTCAGGTTACCGTGGGAATTGGATAGTGCCAAGACCAATCCAAGAGTCATTCTCCTCTTAACAGAAAATGTATAAAAAGCAGTGAATCAGCAAAAAGGAAGCCAAAGAGAGAAATGATAACAGAACATATATACACACAATTGAAGTGTTTTTTTTCCATATACCATTTAGCTATACACACTGAAGGCTATAATGCATTTCTATTGTTTCTTCTAATAATATGCTGAGTAAATCCAGAATGCCAGATGACATCTACAGGTGTTGTCATTCAGTTTGTGATTAAAGGCTGCAATATTTCTTAGCGTTACTGAATCTTTTAATTTCATTCAGCATGTCTCCGGGTCCACCCATAGTGCTGGGCATACTTTGGACTTTGACATGGCCAAATTATTGATAATATCACTCTCGAAGATTTCCCTGCAAGTGACCACAAACATGTTTTATTTGATGTTTTGTGCAATTTGGACCAGCAACCCAACAAACAGTTGAAGCACAGGCGCATTATTAATCAGAACACAGCAAAAAAAATCTCTGCTTCATTTTACCCCAATGTACTGCAAAACTACAAAGATGTGGAGACCTTGGTCCAGTCATTTAATGAGCAGTGCTCCTGCCTACTTGATAGTGTGGCTCCTTTTAAAACTAGTCTTACCTCATCTCGCAAATCATCACCCTGGATTGTTGATTCTATCCGTAGTTTTAGGCGTAAATATAGAAAATCGGAACGCCTTTGGAAAGCTACCAAATTAGAGGTCCATTGAATGCACCTTTAAGAACTTTTATTAATTTTAAATGAAATCATAAAGGACACAAGAACTACTTATTTTTCTAATTGCATTTCATCTAACAAAATAAATCCAAAGATTCTCTTTGAAAAAATTAACTCTATCATCTCTCCTACTTCTCTGCAACAGCCTGTTTCCTCAAACTCTGACTGTGACAACTTGCTGAAATGTTTCATAGAAAAGGTCAGTGACATCAGAGCAAACATTCCTCTATCAGCCAACCATGAGTTCATGGCTGCCTCATGCACCACCATCCTGGACTCCTTTGCCCCCGTTTCCTTGTTGGACATCAGAAATCTGCTGCTAAGCCCTCATCTGGTCCCTTTGACATCCTTCCCTCATCTCTGTATTTTTAATGTTTTTCACTCTATTGGCCCTACTATTTTAAACATGATCAATCTGTCCCTTTTATCTGGCTCTGTTCCAAGCCATTTTAAACATGCTATAGTTCAGCCTGTGTAAAAAAACGAAACAACCACCATCCCCATGAACTATAGACCTATATCCAAGCTGCCTTTTGTATCCAAACTATTGTAAAAAGTGGTTGCCAGGCAACTGACAGATGTCTTGGAGAAACATAACCTGCACGACCCTCTTCAATCTGGTTTCCGTAGACTGCACTCGACTGAAACGGCCCTACTCAAAGTCTCTAATGACATAATTATGGCTGCTGACGATGGGAACTATTTTCTTCTGGTGTTGCTCAACCTGAGCTCTGCTTTTGATATGGTTGACCACGCTATTCTTTTAAGTAGGCTCAATCAGCTGGTGGGAATCTCTGGTAGTGCTTTGGATTGTGGGCCAGTTCATGTCGGACACAGCACCTCTGTCATGTGGTGTACCACTAGGTTCTGTTCTGGGTCCCATGTTGTTTCTTATGCTGCCCCTTTGCCAGATCATCGAGTGTTTTAGTGGGATTTCTTATCATCTTTATGCACATGATATACAGTTGTACTGCTCCTTTAAACCTAATGATTTTAACCAACTGTACATTTTTAAATGAGTGTCTGGATGCCATCAAGACCTGGATGTCTGATAACTGGCTTCAGTTAAAGGCTAAAAAGACTAAAACTCTCATTATTGCACCAGATCATGCCATTGATAATATTCATTAGCATATGGGCATGCTAAACTCTTGTGCTAAACATGACCTCCGGAATTTGGGTGTATATTTTGACCAGTCCATGTCTCTTGACAACCATATCAGCCAGCTCGTGCGTTCTTGATTTTTCCAACTGAGGAACATTGCTAAACTGAGATCTATTGTGACCATTGCAACGCTGATTTTAGCTGTTTAAACCAGACCTCCTTAAACGGTCTTCAAAATGTCCAAAATGCAGCACCTTGGCTTTTAACAGGAACTAACAAAAGATCTCACATCACCCCAATTTTATCCTCTCCGCATAAAATTTGAAATCCTTGTCCTAACTTTTAGAGCCCTACATGGCCTATCAACCCAGTATATCACTGAGCTGCTGCTCCCATACAATCCCCATAGGCCCCTCAGGTCTTCTGACCAAAATCTACAGACCATTCCCCATACCCGTTTTAGAACACGTGGTGACTGTGCTTTCCAGGCTGTTGCTGCCCGTCTTTGGAATACACTACCACTGTCTCTGCGGTCCCTAGACTCCTGCAACACTTTTATGAAGCAGCTGAAAATATTTTTATTCAGGCAAGCATTTGGTTGACTCTTCCACTTCTGCACCACTCCAATTACTGCATCAATTGTCTCATTTATTCTGCTTTTATCTCCCAGTGGCATTTTCCATTATGCATCACGGTACCTACTTGTTTTATTAGTATTCATTTTGTTCTCCCCTGCGCTTTAAATGTTCTCTGCTATCTTATCTTGTTTATCTGCTATTTTTATCTCGTGTACTTCTTTTAATGTGAAGTACTTTGTGATGTTTAGCTGTGAAAGGTGCTATACAAATAAAGTTACTTACTTACTTAATCCCGTGCATGTTCAGGTGTCATTGAGATTTTCTTTATTTTGTATTCTGACTGCAGGATTCTTATTAAGGGTTAAAGGTTTTCAGTGAAATCAACCTGGACCTGATCTGACTGTGGTCGCTCTGCATCAGGATCTGCAGAACTCCTTTTCTTTACCAAAGAGACTTTAGACACTCAACACAAAATAACACAAGACGAAAGTCTTTCTCACTCTACATCAGTTTATTTATTACAAGGTTACACATGAGCTGTCTGAAGAACTTGTGCTACCCAACATAGAGGCCTCCAAGGAAACAGAGTGACAGAAAGAAGAGAAGATATCAGGAGAGAAGAAGGATCCTTACACTGTAACTGTTTCATATAAACCCTTTACATTCAAACGTCATAGCTGCTCCCAACTTACTGGTTCATATGTCAGCAACAAAACATCAATGTCAAAAAAGTATAGAGCAATTTCTGGAAATAGAATTGTCTTATATCCCTTCATAACAGCAGTTATACATCTGTTAGCCAATATATACACATTACTGATGTTGTTAACTTGGATTCCTTTGGATCAGTTTTACCATTGCACAGAATTAGCATTTCTCTCGAGTGTGAAGTATCATGTGTCTCGTCAGATGTCCCTTATAACGAAACCTTTTACCACACTCAGAGCAGCTGAAGGGGTTCTCTCCTGTATGAACTAACATGTGTGTGGCCAGACTTCCTCTTTGGGTAAAGCTTGAATTGCAAGTAGAGCAACTGAAGGGTTTCTCTCCTGTGTGAACAAACATGTGTCGGGTTAGGTCTCCTTTTTGCTGAAATGCTTTACTGCAAGCAGAGCAGCTGAAGGGTTTCTCTCCTGTATGAGTTGCCATGTGATAAATCAGACTGACCTTATGGGTATACCTTTTCTCACACTGACAGCAGCTGTAAGATTTGTCTCCAGTGTGAATCATCATGTGACTGGTCAATTTTCCCTCAGAACTAAACCTTTTACCACAATTAGAGCAGCTGAAGGGTTTCTCTCCTGTGTGAACTAACATGTGTGTGGTCAGATATATTTTCCGGTTAAATCTTTTACCGCACTCAAGGCAGCTGATGGGTTTCTCTCCTCTGTGAATTGCCATGTGATATGTCAAATTAGACTTACTGGTAAATCTTTTCTCACACTGAGAGCAGCTGAAGGGCTTCTCTCTAGTATGAACTAGCATGTGTCTGATCAGATGCTGTTGTTGGTTAAATCTTTTCTCACACTCAGAGCAGCTGAAGGGTTTCTCTCCTGTATGAACTAACATGTGTTTGGTCAGATGCTCTTTTCGGTTAAATATTTTACCGCAGTCCGAGCAGCTATGTGGTCTCTTACCAGTTTTTAGTTTCTTATTTTTCAAGTTTAATTCTGACAGATCTTCTCTTGTCTCTTGCCAATCATCACTGTCATCAGTCTCAGGTTCATCAGAGTCTTTAGTCTCGACCTCAGTCTCTGGTTGTAAACCTCTCTCTGGATCTGAGTACCTCTCTGGTTCTGCGCCTCCACAGTCCTCTCCATCAACTCCTGTTTCCATCTGTTCAGTTTGTCTCTGATGAAGCTGTGAGGACTGAGGTTTCTCTTCATCATCTTCACTCTTCACAGAGACAGGAGTGAAGGGGAACTTGGTGGTATCAGCCTCCTCCAGTCCTTGAAGCTGTTCTTCCTCCTGACTGATCCACAGTTCCTCATGTTCTTCTTTAATGTGTTGGGGCTTAGTGTCCTCCTGGTCCAGAATGTGGCTACACTCCTGCTGCTCAGGTGGAAGCTCTTCTTTACTCACCAACAGCTGCTGGACATCTGCAGGACACAGTAAACAAACATTAACGGTACTTATACTGATTTTTTAATATTAATAAGGACTTTCAAATGATTTCATTTTTAATGGCTGAAAATCAATAGATAAAAAAGTAAAAGTAAATGAAACCAGCCAAAGAGGTTGTGTAAAAAAAAAAAAAAAGTGAGAGTGACAGTAGCCTAAGGCTGTGAGGACTGAGGTTTCTCCTCATGTCACAGGAGGGATATTACTTCACTGTTCTTTTCCATCACTGCAGCTACTGACAAACTTAATCTCACTGTGATTAACGCATTAACGTTTACAGCCCTACTTTTAATATTTTAATTGACATGCTCAAGAAAAGCATGATAAGTTAATGCTACATTTCTATCCTGTCCTGTGTACTTGTTGCTATGGATGATGTCATTTTAATTCTGTTGAAGAAAATGAATGGATTATCTGTTACGATAGTTGGGAGAGAGATTGCTGTTGGGCGAGCTGAGCTAGAGTGAAGCTGGTGCACTGCGCTGTCAATGAGGTTGAAACAGTGTGCTTTCAAATGAATTTAGAGACTATCAGCCCCACATGAACCTCCTGACCTTTCTACCTTAGTTCCTAGGATTTTTCTATCTCACTTTGAAATGCTTCTATGGCTATGAAATGAGTAGTAACTCTCTGAGCAAAAGCAGTGTCAGTCACAGTGGATGAGATCAATGAAGGAAAGATGGACATCCTTCACAAGTTGTCTGGCTTTTACCTGGGTGAAAGTTGACTTCCTGTCTTTCACTTGTTGTCCCCTCTGTCAACAGAACCCTCTGCCCTGCATAGATCCATCTGATGTTGAGTTAAGTAACATGACGTGCTGCAAGTTTAACAAGCAAGGACAGATCCGGACAGATCCAGATTCTTTGAGTCGGGCCCTGACTTATGCAGAGGGTGGCCTGAAGTTTGAGTCACAAAAAATCAATCTCTCTAAAATCCAAATATTACATATTGCCAAACAAGTTTTGTACAAAGGTTTGATGTTTTGCCCTTCTTACACCACCACATGGTTTCAGATTAAGATAGATCTTTTCAGATTTTACCACAATTTGAACTTGAAGACATGGTATGCCTCCCAACAAAGACCCTTAGTAGAAGTAATGCCCACTGGTCCCACACCTGCCACATCTTTTAGACCAAAATCAACTTTCAGCCCTGTATGCAATAATGCAACACCACTTACCTTTACTAAGGAAGTTGATTACGAAATTGGTTAACTATCTAACAGGTGTAACAACCAATATAGATGATCAATCAAAATATGACATCATCATAAGTTCAGCCGACAAGGGAGGAGCAAAGGGGTAATGGACAAAGTAAAATACATGACGGAGGCACACCGGCAGCTCAACAACAGCATCTTCTGTTAAACTCAAAAGTGAACCTTCTCACTCCTATGAAAATAGATTTCCATAATGTTCTCAGCCAAGCTAGAGAAGAAGGATATATTTCAGATGACCCCCCAGGCAGACCACATCTCCCCAACAACTACCTCAAGGAACCAGCATCGACATACATTGACTACTTCATCAAGCCTCTGGTCCCGCTACTCCCATCCTATATTAAAGACACCAACCAGGTACTTAGAAAAAGATCATCTTTAAAAAAACAAAACATTTTGACTATCCAGCCACATGTGATGTTGAAGCCTAATGGACTGCATCAGTGAACGCAAACACGGCATAAAAACAATATGGAGTATCCAATGTCAAAACATTTTCACCAGCATCACGCCAGCAATGAGACTCTCTGAAGAGCCGAAGGTATAGAGCACATCAAACCACCACAAGACGGGGTGATCAACTAAAAAAAACTTCTCCAAATTGAAACTTTCTGGATCTTCAAACTGCCAGCCATGATCCTCCCCAGCCTGAATGAGGAAATTGATTTCAGACCCTTTTTGTCATTTTTTTCTGTCCACTGCAGTTTACCATTTTTTCATTTACTTTATTATGCAACGTTTTCACGACACGGGATGTCACATGTCGGGTTGCCAGCACAACAAGCAAGCTTTCACCCTGACGAAGGCCATTTTTTCCACTCTTTTTGCTTTCCTTTCCACCTTAACCTCTCCCACACAAGTGTGCCTGTAACCGCTTCAGAGACCTCTCCACTACCAAAGGTTTGCGCACACGAGCAGGAGAGAAGCGAGAGTCGGGGAACGTGCCATTGCGTATTTAAAGGCTTAAATATGTAATTTTTTTGATCCAGCAGATGTCGCCCCTGAGCACCAGCATGAAACCAAAACAACTTGCGGTGCATTGTTGTGTTAGCATGCTAATGCTAGCGATCTTTATTATGCTTGTATCTTCACACTGCATGTAAATTTACCCGAAATGAGCGTGATCTAGAAACACAGTTAAGCAGTGAGTACAGTATGTTATTCTTCTTTTCTCTAGTCCCTCAATTAAATAACTTTTAAACGCGAGGGGAGGAGTCAACCGGCCCGGCGATGTTTCAAACAAAGTGAAGATAGGACTCAGAAAACTCTGAAAACATCACAGACAGTGGGACTCTGGTGTTACACAGTCATGACTCACAGAGTTATTTTCAGAGGATAAACTTGATTTTTATTACATTTAAGTGTGAAAAATCGCATATAAAGCCCTTAACTGGACGGACAAGAAACAAAAAGGTAAACTGATAATCTGCTCTACGGTTTACATGTTTACCAGTGAAGTATGTGAACTACATGGCAGACTGATGTCTTTCAGTGCTCATCTGTCTGTGCATCTGCACATCACCCTCACTGCTCTGCTTATTAAAAGCTATTAATTATAAGCTGGTCATATGCCACGTCTGAATCTTCAGTGTAGACCTGGTCGCCTGCCTGAGGGTCTCCATCAATGGTCCGAGACTCTGGATTTTATGTTTTGACAATTTGTGTTTAATTACTACAACCGCACACAATTGTTAAAAGACACCAAATACATTTAGCCTCATAATTTTGCACAGAATTGATGCAAAACTCTTCCGGCACCGACGCGAGTGGCCGCATATCCAGTAGCTCCGTCCCTGTCGTATTCGTTTTTAATATTTTATTGGTGTTTTTGCTAACCTTACTTTTTTAAAATACACTTACGGTGTAGAACATTGTATCCTATGGATACTCTTTCTTCTTTTCGGGAATATAGCAGCGGAAAACTTGGTTATTCAAGGGAGAAGCTGCTCTCACTCCGAACAATGGGACAATCCGGCATCGTTCACCCCATACCTGAGGAGCTGAGACGGAGGTACAGAGGCTGCAGAGCCGGAGCCAAGGTAAAAGCTAGGCTAGCGGCTAAGCGGTGGAAGTACAAGCCCGGTGTTCCGTCGATAGTTATGGGGAGCGTTAACTGTCTAACCAACAAGACAGATGAGCTGGCTGCCCTTGCGAGGAACGACCGGACATTTAGAGAGTGCAGTTTAATGTGCCTCTCAGAAACCTAGCTAACACAAAAGACCCCCGATGCTAACGTGGATCTACCGGGCTTCACAACAGCGAGAGACACTAAACGCAGTGGCAAACGGAAAGGAGGGTGGCTTGCGCTGTTTATTAACACCAGATGGTGCAACCAGGGACATGTTACTGTGAAGGAGGCAACGTGCAGCAAGGATATTGAGCTGCTGGCGGTAGGTCTCTGACCATACTACATGCCCAGGGAGTTCTCCCACGCCATTGTTGTTTGTGTTTACATCCCTCCGCGAGCACACGCTGAGACCATGTGTGATGTCATCCACTCCACCATCGTGAGACTACAGACACAACACCCTGATGCATTCATTGCCATCTCTGGGGACTTTAACCATGTTACATAGGACTCAACACTACCGGACTTTCACCAGTTTGTAAGCTGTCCTACCAGGAAGAACAGGACAATAGACCTCCTGTATGCAAATGTGAAAGAAGCTTACACTGCCATCCCTCTACCACCACTGTGGAAGTCTGATCACAACCTGGTCCTTCTTAACCCACATAACAAACCACAGATTCAGAGACACCCAGTAACCACACGCACCTTCAGAAAGTGGTCTCCTGAGGCAGTGGAGACACAAAGAGACTGTTTTGAGCCGACTAACTGGAGCACCCTGCAAGAGCCACATGGTGAGGACATTGAGGGGGTCACACACTGCACAACTGACTATGTGAACTTCTGCATGGATGTTGTAGTTCCCACAAAAACTGTGCGCTGCTTCCCGAACAACAAGCCCTGGATTACCAGTAATGTCAAGGACATCCTTAACAGGAAGAAGAGGGCATTCAAGGAAGGAGAGCAGGCAGAGCTGAAGCGTGTGCAGGGGGAACTCAAGGTCCGGCTCAGAGAGGCAAAGGAGGAGTACAGAAGGTGGAGAAGAAGCTGCAGAACAACAACACGAGAGAGGTCTGGGAGGGCATGAAACCCATCACAGGCTGCAAGAAGGAAGGGACAGAGCCGTCTGTACTTCCTGAGAAGGCTGGGGTCCTTCAACATCTGTAAAAAGCTGCTGCAGATGTTTTACCAGTCCGTGGTAGCCAGTGTCCTCTTCTATGCTGTGGTGTGCTGGGGAGGAAGCAGCAAGAAGAGGGATGCAGCACGGCTGGACAGACTGGTGAGGAAGGCTGGCTCTGTGGTGGGCACAGAGCTGGACTCTTTAGTGACAGTGGCAGAGAGAAGGACCCTGAACAGAATGCTCTCCATCACACCCACCACCCTCTGCACAGCACCTTCACCAGGCACAGGAGTGTGTTCAGTGGCAGCTGTCACAATCCTGTTCCACAGACAGACTTAAGAACTCTTTTGTCCCCCTGGCCATACGTCTGTACAACACCTCACAGTTATGGCAGGGGGAAAGCACACACTTGGACTAATCTTCCTTTTTCCACTTCCCATCTGCACAGCTGTCCCCAGAGTCAGCCTCTAGTTGGACACTTTCATGATTACCTCAATACATACACATTAAATTTAATGTTTGCACTGCCTGTTATTTGATAATTTTGCACTATCTGCTTTTTAAACATTGCTGTACATATAAACAACACAATTTCAGAAGGTCAACACTTTTTTATATTCAGGTCTAATTACAGATTTTTTCCTCAACTGTTTATAGGTTCTTGTTTAAATTACACATATTTTTATACCTACACGGGTTATGTACATTTCTTGTATAAATCTATTTTTAATTGCACAGTTTAAGTTTTGATTCGTCTAGAGGTATTCTTTAAATCTTTTTTTCGGGTTAATATATATGTACAGGAGGGGGGCGTTGGTTTTGTGGTTTCATTTTTAACAAATGTTTCATGTCTTGTACATCTTTGTAACCTGCTACTGGATGCTTTGAATTTCCCTCGGGATCAATAAGGTATCTATCTATCTATTTTAGTTAATAATGTATACATTTTTTCCCTGGTCCCCCCAAGGCGTTTCTGTGTCCCCACCACCATAGTCTCATAAAATCGTGTGGGAAACACTGTAGGCTAATGCTTTGAATTGAATTTTAATTTTTTTATGAAATACACGATTTAGGCTACAAGGTTGTAGAGAATAGGCAACTATTTCAGACTCATGTACTAAGCTAGAATTACAGTCTATATCTCCAGCGAAAGGATACTACACTGCCCTACAAAGCCAAAGTGCAGTATCTACAAAAATGACAAACTGAGAAAACCAGCTTTTTGTGTTTTTTGTTTGCCAAGCGCAAGTATAAAATTATATTTAAAAAACAATTCTATGATTGATTAGATGAAAGTGAAGTGAATTTGAAACATATTGTAATTTGAAATTCAGGTTAACCATTTCAGTTTTACGGCTAAAACTGCACTTTGCCTTTGTTCTACTGCTGAATAATTATATGGCCAAACACTGATGGACTGCAGCAAAGTTCAATTGTTAATGGGTTTTTATGTAATTGAGTAGACAAAGATGTATATTCTTTTCCACTCATTTGTTTTGTTTCCTATTTTATTTTATAGCTCAGATTAAAATATATTTATAGTTACATCTTACAGTTACAGGCCTGTATGTTTGGGTATGTGAGCAACAATTCATATGAACTGAACAATTGATTAAAATCAATCAATTAATTAATTAACACTGAATGCAACACATGAATGCGTTCTACGAGACACACATGTAATTTCAACAGTTTTATCAGCCTGGGCATCAATTACCAAAATGTACTGCTTGCTGTGAGAGATATAAACATAACTTTTGCATCTTTTGGAGACTTCAAAAGTACTCAATAAACGGAAACCACCACTGTTCTGTCTTTCACTTGCAGCAGTCGTTGGATACAAATTACTTTAAGATCTGTAGATTTATTTTTACTTCAGGTAGGCTACTTTTGGCTTGTAACATAAGAGTGACTGAATCGTTTTAAACATGTGGTATCAAAAATAACAAACAATTTCACAACTTTGCTTTACATATCTCCTTTCTGCATATTTTACCCATTACATGAGTGATGTAAATAACCTCCCCAGTTCTGATAAAATTGAGTGCGTTTACATTGAGTATCCTGGTTATGAGCCTTATCTTGGTTGATCCTAAAACAAAGGCAATCTGCAGTATCTGACACCTTCTTCATGGTGAAACAAAGACAATCTGCAGTATCTGACACCTTCTTCATGGTGAAACAAAGACAATCTGCAGTATCTGACACCTTCTTCATGGTGAAACAAAGACAATCTGCAGTATCTGACACCTTCTTCATGGTGAAACAAAGACAATCTGCAGTATCTGACACCTTCTTCATGGTGAAACAAAGACAAACTACAGTGACACCTTCATGGTGAAACAAAGACAAACTACAGTGACACCTTCATGGTGAAACAAAGACAAACTACAGTATCTGACACTTTCTTCATGGTAAAATAAAGACAATCTGCCTAAGTGTCACTTACTGCAGTTTGCCTTGGTTTCACAGTGTATTTTACAACTAAAAAAAAACAATATCTCTGGGAAATAAAGCAGTAGAACTACGAAACTCTCACAGATTGAGGAGCAGATACTGCACTTACAATTTGTGAAAAAAAGTGAATTTCACAAAAAGTGCAGATACTGCACACACTGGCTTTGTAGGGCAGTACAGTGGACTGGTCTGAGCCATGAAACTCCCGGGCTGATAATGAGTCCCACTCCGGCCCTTGTGAATAGCATGTATTTAACGTATTTCCAATAATCATATCTACTTTAAGTAGTAAAATGAAGACACAGATCCGTTGGTGGATTCAATAGGTCCAGACTAAAGAGTCTTTAAGTAAAGTCAATGATGTTGTTAGCAGGAGCTAGCTGCGGCTAACACTGTGCTGTGTGCGTCTATGGACTAAAGGCTCTGCTCCCTGAAACATGAGCAGGAAACACGTTTCCAGCAGTGGAAAGAAAACCTACCTGCTCTCTGCAGCTTGATTTCAGGTATTAAAATCACATCCAGCACTTTTCTTTGTCGGTGGAGCTCCTCTTCGTATCCACATGTTGTTGTTTCTGATATATCTCTGATAACCGCAGCGAGCAGCCGCCGTCTGAACAAATCTTTAAGATCCTGAAACCCGGACATCTGACACACATCCAAGAGTCACAGAAGAACTCAACACTGACGATACTCTGATAACCTACAAAGTTACAGACGTAGCCTACGTGTTGTCTGCGAAAGAGCCGGATATGAACGCTACGTCATTCCGGTCACGCCAAACAAATTGTTGCATTTCCGCCACCTACTGGTAAGGAGTGTAGCCGACTGCTTTCTGTAAATTATAACAAAAAATAAATAATAATAAAAAATAAATGAAATCTTCTCAAACAACTGAGTTTGTCTAAGGTATTCAAATAAAAACTTTAGTATTCCACCTCTGATCCTTTTCCTAACACTGTGTACTGAATTCTTTGCTTTATAAATGTTGCACACCCTCCTCCACTACCCTCCTTTCTATCTCTGCGAATACTGTCATAACCACTAATAATAAAGTCTAATGGAGACTTAAGCCATGTTTCTTAAAGATGATTTCTGGTTTCTTTTACAGACTTTGAATGAATCCTTTAAACTCTTGACCATTTGCTGACAGACTTCTTAACTTCTATTGCAGAAGATTCAGGTTGTCCTACCAGCTGATCCTCCCTGCCTTGCATCTGTTTCAAGTCTCTTATTTATCTGCTCCCAGGACACATCTTTAATACCCAAAAACCTCTCAGCTCCCTTCACAATGCTTTTGTTTTTTTCTCTTCTATGTTTGACCTGGTTGGTACAATTTATCACAAAAGCCACAAACAAAACCAACTTATCTATTGTCAGTGTAGGATTAATTTCCTCTATTTGACCTGACCTTGCTCTTGACTTCTCGTTTACTTCCTCAGTTTCTCCCCTTACCTTCTGTCCTTGAATCCTCTTCACTGCCTCTGCATAACTCATGTTGTTCACTGATTTCACATGTTCAATCTCCACAGCCTTCTTTCTGATCTCACAGCCACCATATGTTACCCTGTGTTGTCCTCCACAGTTACAACGTTTCCCCTGCTCGTTCTTTCTACAGTCTTCAAATCTGTGATCAGACAAATAAAATGTGATCAGAGGAAATACTTCGTGCATCTCAAGGCTTACCTCTGTTTCAGGGATTCCTGATTTTGAGTGTCAATGCGATTTTTCACATAGATCTTAACTGCTTCCCAACTCCTGTCTTGAAGGGCTGTGGGTGAAGTCTGTATGCACTGAAGACACTTCGCTTTACCAGGAACCTTTTTCTGTCATGATGAAGTCCATGAACGTCTTCTCAACAGCCTGCATTTCCTCTTCCGAACATTTTTTTCTCTTGGTTTGCGATGAACCTGAAAACACAAGACTGTAAATAACTTCAAAAAGAAAGTCTGCATGCAGTGTAACATGATCCCATTGGGCAAGATCCTGGCTAAAAACATGTTAGCAGTGTGAATTTGAGAAATAAAAACAGTATTTTTATTATTATGAAACTCTGGGTTGATCTATCAGGTTAATAATCAGCTTCACGTGACTCAGCATGATCTCTTTTGTCCGATTTAGTGAAGACAGATAACCCAAGATACCTCGCTTTATGGTATAGGCCCCAGGGGTGTAATTAATAAAGCAAGGTTTACTTTCATTTTGAGTGTTGTAATAATTTACCTTTTTTTACTTTGACATTTTGCAGACATGTCCCCAGCCAGTGTCATGTCGTCATCTGACCTCCCATCTGAAACCAAAGAAAAAGACTCTAAATGGCTTTTCTGTGGGTCCCTATGGTAGAAGGGCAAGATGACGCATTAAGGAGAGTGATTAGAGAGAAAAAATATAGAAGAAAAGTTAAATGCATTCAATTTAAGCAGGGGTGAAGTGACAAATGAAATGAGTCGTGTATAATTGAGTAATTATTGTGTAGCTGTCCTATTTGTGAGGAGTTTCTGAAATCAGTAATTTTGGTTTTTAGTGAAGTTTATTTTGAGAGAAGTATTGTACTTTTCTACAACTTAAATAGCATCTGCTACCAGGTAAAAAAAATAAAAAGGCAAGAAGGAGATGAAAGGAGGAGGAGGAGACAGATCGACGAGTCAGACCAAAATGTGATAAAAAGGATATAAATTAACTGTTACCTGGATATACTTCAGGAACAAACCCAGATATAATGTACCGTTTAACATTAAGGAAAACCATATGCTCTATACAACCACCTATAATGGTCTCACCATTGTAAGATTTCATGTTATTTGGATTTCTGTAATATTTTATGTATGTCAGTAAGATATTAGTTTGAAGACAAATTATCCACCACTTCGCATTGTATGAAATACAATGTAAATATTTTGATGGCTTGTTTATATACCACTTCATATATATTTTAGTTAAACTGCTCAGGATCATGAGTATTGATTCCACATATCAAAAAATAGACTGTTGCATTGCACTTTACAGGACAGTTGGTCTTTTAATAAAAGCAACTTGGTTGGAGATTCATATTCTCTTGTTTTTGCATGACATAGGATGAAGACATCATATTTTCTTTTCAGTACTTTTAGTAAAGACCAGTTCAGTAATGGACCAGTAATTTTACATCTGAACAAGCAAAACTTTAAGTAACTGTTATTTTACGTGAGAACAATCTTCTTGTACACTTTCCACCTCTGAATGTAAGCATTAAAGGTGCACTATGGAGATTTGGTGGTGAAATCTGAAAGTTGGAGAAGTGAAACAGTTCTATGCTCTATTTTCTGAACTAAACTGAACTTTACTCAAATAAAAAATGGGTCCCTTGAACACTGTTTGTAGCTAAAAAGTTACCAGGAGAGTTTCACTTCAGTCTCCCCACCAGAACTTCTCACATCGCATTTTATCTTCAAACAGTGTTCCATTTTTTCCTTTGAGTGAAGTTTGAGTACAGAATGAACACATACCACAGAATCTGTACACTTCTCTAACTTTCTATTTCTCTACCAAAACTACATAGTGCATCTTTAAGACAATTCCATAATCCTCACCTTTTTTAAATTACAGAAGTGTGATTACCTTTGGCTGGGTGTCTCTTCATTATCCATTTGAAAGCCTTTTTCCACACCAGCATCTGCAAGAGATGTCGGAGGATGAGCTCCTTACTCGACTCAAAATGAATGAACAAATCCTTCCATGCAATCACAAGTATTATAAGTTTTGATGGGCAGCTTCATGCAAATTAACTTGGCAAAGGGTTACTGAAGAGAGACAGGAGCAGCACTGAGGGGGGCTTCAGTGGATATTTATATTTATTTTCTCCACCTGCAGGCTTCATCTGTATTGTATCTCAGCAATTACATGTTTAATCTGTTGGTTAGCTCTTACAGTGCAATGTAGGGTTAGGGTTAGTGCACATGGCCTAAATTTGGGGGAGATATTAAAATTTAAAAAACTGAATATCAGGCCCTGGTGTAAACCCACAACGTTTCTAACTTCCATCTTCACTCAACTCAAATAAACATTGCAACTCACCTTTCTCACGAGCGTCTTGAAAGCTGCAACCAGTGGCAGGAGGACTCAGTGGGCACAACAACACAGTCAGTTCATATTAATCTCAGTGTGTTCAGAGAGAGAAATTAACTGTTTCAACTTCTACAATTCATAGGTAGACATGTTTAAATACACCAGCCAATTAAAAGTTGATTCATTCACTACTAAAAAGTGAGTCTAAATATGCTGATGTAGCAGTTTAAATTTGGGTGCTACCACTTCATCAGTTTCTGAGGGGAAACCCTATATATACAATCATTACAAGAGAGAAATCAATTCCCCACCTACCTTGTATAAATTGGGGTTAAGAAATAATATTGATTTACAGTGACATTAAACACCTGCGTTTTTTTGTACTGGTTACTAATTGCAGTACATGCAGCTTGTTCACAGTATCATACATGACATGTTGTGTTCGCCTATGTGCCCACTAGATGGCAGTATTAGAGTACTAATGGCAACCTGTTGAATTTTGAAACAAACCACTGGTCTCCTGGCAGTGTTTTTGCTAGTCCTCATTCCTCTCTCACCACAACCGCCAATCACTGGGGATGTCCTGTGTTCTGCAATTGACCAGGAAACAGTCCCATACATATGTATCTGAATGCTGCCATGTGGTCAGTTTCTTACAAACTTACATGTGAAAAGCAGATGTATAAAAGCAGCCTTTCAGAGTTGTAAAGTTTTGACCAGGGGAAGAGCTGTCCATAGTAAAATAGCTTCCTAACTAAACATGTTTAAATATCAAAGATTCTTCTCAAATTTCATAGTGAATACATACTGATGTATGGTTCCAGCTTGCCTCCCGAAAGTGCATAATTCTAACTTTGATCAAGGCCTAAATCAGTACCACTGTCATCAATTATTAGTGATTTCTCAATGTTATGTGCAAAAAATGACAAACATATTTTAAATAAAAATGGGTTATTGTGTAGCCCAAATCACTGCCGACTCATTATTTTAACAATTAATATTGTTTGTCTTTATTTTTTAAAAATCATACTATTGCATACATCTACAAACTTGAGGTGATAATACAAAAACTACTCTGGTTCACAAAGTAAGAAAGGAAAAATGAAAATAATTTGTGAGAACAAAATGTACATCAGAGAGTAAGTACAACACTAATCCATTCATACACCACCACTGAAGCAGCAGGAGTAATGCTGGGTTAAGTGTCTTGTCCAAGGACACATTGGACATGTTGCTCAGCTGGGGATTGAACCCTCAACCTTCCAGTTGAGAGGCGACAACTCTACCAACTGAGCTACAGATGTGATAAGAGGGTTGACGTCAGGGTAACCCTGAGGTCAGGAGAAGGTCAGGCTTACCCTGAGATCAGGCGAAGGTCGGGTCAGGGTTACCCTGAGGTCAGGTGAAGGTCAGGCTTACCCTGAGGTCAGGTGAAGGTCAGGCTTACCCTGAGGTCAGGTGAAGGTCAGGGTCAGGGTTACCCTGAGGTCAGGTGAAGGTTGGGGTTACCCTGAGGTCAGGTTAAGGTCAGGGTTACCCTGAGTTTAGGTTAAGGCTGGGGTTACCCTGAGGTCAGGTGAAGACGTCGATGGTCAAAACAAGACTTTATCTAGAGACAGTTCCAACCATTATTCAACGCAACTCCTTTCGCTTTAAATCATATTTGAATTATTTTTGTAATCATATGTCTTTTACTCTTTCAACTGACTGATTGTACATGAAACTTATGAAACCTAGCCTTAGTAGTTGGTTATTATTGAACCACAACGAGGATGGTCGTCCTTCTGATGATGAAGGGATTGAGACGTTTGTAGAAGACACCTTGGGAAACACGTGGGACTCTTCTTTGTCCTTTGCTGCACCTCCCAAACTCATGAAATGCACGGCATCAAACATTCGCTTCAAAGTGCAGAAAGATGTGTCTTCTCATCTCAATCTCAAAAAAGTTACAGTCACTATGTGACATAGTCGGTAGCCGAGACCGTGTAGCAAGCTAATAGCTGCGAAGATAACCTCCAGATAGATAGAAACAGTAATGGCTGTTGCACTTAAACCTACTCTTTCTTTCTTTCTTTATTAGCTTGTGTTTATATTGTATACAATTGGCCGAAGTTACTGTTACTACTGTTACTGAGACCGTGTAAAACTCCAGATGAGTAGAATGGGAAAAAGGTCACCCTTAAAAGTGTTAATTTTAAGGGATACAACTAAGAGTTGGTGGCTAAGAGAGGACAAACGGCTGAACGCATTGATGTGATTTTTATGTCTGGGACGTAAGAAATGTGGGAACCACAGCGATCTAAAAACATAGTCCCGAGAAGTTTGGTCAGGAAAGTTGGGTGAAATTTAACATTACCCCAGATGGAGAGTTATTTGGACCCCCTGCTGCTTTTGAAGCTAACAGTGTCAAAACGGTTGCTACGTTTGTCCTGAAAACGCAATGTGTGAGAGTTTATAAGTTTTCCTACATTCTGGGGGTAAATTCAGGTGTGTGGGGTGAAAACTGCGGTCATTATTTAAATTTGTTAGGGAGATTTTTAAACAATCTCAGAACTCTGTCCCACTCAATCGATGATGTCACCACTCTACACCTGCTGCTGATTGGTTGACATTCAAATTCCAACAGCCCAACTGCCAGACCAATGTATTCATATGGGCTTACCACTGCCCGCAAAACATCAAATATCTTGAAAACTAAAAATGGTATCACCGATCTGATTGGACAGAAAGCACAGCTAGCCGCATGTTTAGATGGTTTTTTAATCATGTCGATTTGAAAACTTGAGTCAAAACTGTGAAATCCTCAAATTCAGTTGGAGTGAGAAGCCCATGTGTGGCGCAAACGCTGTGGGAGCCTTAGCGTGCCAAACTTTGGGGATATATTAATAAAAATAATGGAGATTATAAGAGTGTGGCTGCCTTCTACAAGTTAACCACACTAATTAACTAATCAATCAATCTCATATCAGAATAGTAAGTTCTCTAGGAGCATTTTAATCATTAAATAAACACAAAGTTCTTAATGATTACATAAGAATTTAATGAAGTAATTGTGAACAATAATGCAGATTAATGCAGTAACCTAAGATCAATGTATATAATAATATTAAGTATATTGCCAAAGATATTGGTATGGTGAGGTTACAAGGCGAAAATAACCTATTTGAGAAAAACATGATGCGGTTTGATTTGATGTTTACGGATATGTGATTAAAGAAAATGTGGATCAAGAGTTTGCTTTAGAAATTGGAACTAGTTGTGATGGACATGACCCTCCTGGTTTCCAACACGAGCTGATGAACGGACCTTACTTGGTTCTGTTCAGTTTGGACTCCTCCACTGGATCAGCTTTCAGGTACCAACAAATTATTTCCAAATCAACCAGTCCTTTAATAACTAAAAAACAAAACAAATGTGAAGCTTAAAAGTTGCACGCTTAAGAAAAATTAAGATGTTTAAAGAAAAGTGAGATAATCTACCTCGTAGACCAAAGAAATAGAATGGCAAAGCTGATTTTCAGGTCCAACTTCAACGTGAACAAAAATAAAAGAGAGTGTTACTGAGTCGGCAAACAGTCCTTTGGTCATTCTGTGTGACGAAGGTTGGGAGGGGCTCTTTCATGTTCTACGAGGGGGACGAACTCTGAGCCGTTTTAAAAGCTGGATTCATTAATTTTGTTTTATAAAACAAATCAAAGGATAGTATGCAGAATAACATGACATGACATGTAACTGTCATGATTTGGTATTATTTAGTTTTGTATTTTCAGTGTTTCTCTATGTTCTTGTGTGTTTTGTTCATTCTTGAGTTCTGTGTGTCTTCAGTGTTTCATGTATTTTATTTTGTAGTTGTCCTCAGTGTTTCTTGTGTCCATTCCTTCCTCTGTGTGTTTCCCTCCATTGTGACTGCCCTCATTGTCTTCACCTGTGTTATTAGTCTCACCTGTGTTTGATTACCCCATTTCTATTTAGTCTCTGTGTTTCTTCCCTTCTGTGTCAGTTCATTGTATGTTGTAGGTGTCGTATGTCAGTTTACTCGTGGCTTCTTATTTTCTTGTAATTGGGTTTCTGAAGTGAGTTTTTGTTTAATTAAATAATTTTTGGTTCTGCATCTGGGTCCTCCTCCATTTACAAAATGCTGTAAAAATACCACATAAGATTATTTTCTACTATCAACAGTTGATTTTTTAAAAGTATGTTTCAATGAATATTTGTGTATACATTCTCAAGAGCGGCAGGATGTGCAAACCACTGTAGAGTGGTCCTTGCAGGCACACTATCCACAGCTGTAGCTAGTGGTTGCCGTTTAACAGAGAGGTAAACATGACTCTGTCCAAACCTTTTGAAATAAGTTGCTGGCATCAAATTCAAAATGGGCATGAAATATTCCAAAAAAACAATAATTGTTGTCAGTTTCAAGATTTGAGTTGTTTTCATTGGGCTATTTTTTAAATCAAATAGTGTTAGCCTACATTTTCAAAATCATGATAATACATTTTATTATTGATCATTGACTGGGGTTAAGCTACACCAGTTATTTGTGCGACAACAATGATGTCACAGTTAACGGCCGGTGAGTGAGTGACTAGTGTCTGAAATGCTTTGAATGTTTGCTAAATAAGTGCATTATATAATAATTATATATACATATATATATTATCCACTACATATAACTCACTATATAGTGAGTAGGGGATGAGTGAGTGATTTGGGACACAACCCATTACTTATCGTACATGTCACGTAGCACATGAATACCTTCATCCATCTTGGGTAGAAGATGACGCTTCTTCTAGTGCAGAGGATTTCTCCCCATCTTCACTCTCCGAGCGTGTCACATAGTCAAGTGCTTGAAGCAGTGAATATGACCTTATTGCCATCTTGCCAGAGCCAAAATGATATGGGAGCTGTTAGGCTTACTTATAGAATTCATATTGACTGCACCTGCATGAACTCCAGGACAGGTTTATAAACAGTGCCAGAGTTTGTTTTCGTTCCCCCTGCAGCTGAACCTTTGACCTCTGCAACATGTCCTGTGATCTTTCTTATTTTGGAGAGTAGATATTTGGGTGTGTAAGCATGTGTGTGGCATTTTTTATGAAAAGAAAAAAGCTGAAGGTGCTTTCAACATGTGCATCAAAACCAAGTGTGCCTGGGAAACTCAAAGCTCAATAACCTGCATCAACAGAAATACATCATCATTTATTTAACTCTATCTTGCGAATACATATTTGTGTTGCACACACAATTTTTTTTCATGCACAGACACAAATCATTAACTGACATCCTTATGATCACACCTACGTCAAAATTGTGTAATTAATTTGCTCCATTGGAGTGCAGTAAGCCATCATACGCCCCTACTGGAAACTAAGAATATTACATGAAATTGCCCCCTTAGCCAAAAATGAATAAATAACATAATCTGGTAAAAAACATTAAAAACTACAATTTCCAAGTGTTGAGTTTATAATAAAAGCCATTTTACCAAAATTGTATTAGTTTATACTGTAAATGGTGGAGGTTCATCCTCTGTGGATCATCAGGAAACAGCTGCTCCTCTCTGCACCACCAGCGTCCTGATCGCTCTCACATTATTACAGAGTACCTCATTGGTACCTAATGAGAGAAGAAGACGGATCAGAGAAATCATCAATCATTCTCTACACTGACTTCCTTCATCAGCTGTAAGTCATCAGATTCCCCCACAGCGCTGAACCAAAGCTCCACCCCCACTCCACCTTTGTACTTTTAAACTCGCCGATTTTTCTCTCATCTGCCAGTTGTCCTTCCAGCATCTATTCCTTTAGCTGTGTAACTTTAGTCTTTGGAAACCTGTCTGTCTTAAACATCTTTATATTATTAATATAGTTTGTTCAGAGTTTGTTAGATATGATGATCTGCTGACGACAGACTCAGTTATGATTGTGATAGGTTATATTAAGCTAACTCTGCCCATTTTATGTGAACAAGCTCGCTGAAACTCTATATTTACTTATCAGGTTGATAACCAGCTTCATGTTACTGTTCAGGACAATCTCTTATGTCAGGGTTAATGAAGCCAGATAACAGAAATAAAAAAACCTGGGTATGTCAAACTTGCTTCGTAGTATAGACCCCAGAAAAGGATTTCTCAGACAAAAACAACAAGAATCTAAATTATGTATCACCTGATATGTGGAGGGTTTAGTAAAGGGCACTGAGAGACTAACCTCAAAGTCTCCAGTCGAAAGTTTGGATTCTTCTCAAGATCACGCAGCGGCTTCACTCCTGAATCCTGCAGTTTGTTGATGCTCAGGTCCAACTCTCTGAGATGGGAGGGGTTGGACTTCAGAGCTGAGGCCAGAGAAGAACAGCTGATCTCTGACAACCTGCAGACCATCAAACTTAATAAAGAATAAATGTAAAAATATAAGTATCTCAACATCACTTTGTCCTGACGATTAAAGTTTTCTCTAAATGATTAGAGGATCATTTCTGATTGTGTATTCACTAAATCTAAATCCTCCAAATGTTAGCACAACATTCACACAGCTGTTCATATGCACAGATGAATAACAGGCTGCTGATCTGAGTCAGCTCTGTGATGTTAGTACCTTTATCAAATCAGACATTATTGAATCAAAAGTCTTCATGATTTCACTTAACAGAACCAGAAGAAACCAGAGGCTTCATGTGCACGTTGTTCAACTTTACGTCACATAGTCATAAAACTATTTTCAAATCAAATCTCTAAATTATTCAGCAACTTGAAAAACAATCGAGGGTGAGGATTGAAATGATACAAATGTATGACACAGTCAGTGATCTGACCTCAGAGTCTCCAGTCTGCAGTTTGGACTCTGCAGATAATCACACAGCAGCTTCACTCCTGAATCCTGCAGCTTCTCGTTGACGCTCAGGTCCAGCTCTCTGAGATGGGAGGGGTTGGACTTCAGAGCTGAGGCCAGAGAAGAACAGCTGGTCTCTGATAAACTGCAGTCACTCAATCTGAATAAAGAATAAAATATGTAGATGTAGATGACTATGGCTTTATGCATGAATGTGTGATGTTGTCCACATGAACACACTGATGTGATCATCATCTGTTCATTCCAACATTGGACTTTATTAGGATGCATTAATACTTTAGTTCTTCTTGATCATTTTTAGATTCAAACACTCAGAGCTCCTTTGAGGAACTTTCATTACATGTCCGTTTTGGCGCTCCCTGTGGAAAAAGTGAAACCTCTTATCTCTTTACTGATCTTGTCCTGTACAGTATTCTCAAACAAAAAACTCCTCATGCTTTCTTTGAACTCTACAAACTACAAGAAACGTGATTAGCAGACCCTTGTTGGGGTTGTATCAAGACAACTTTGGTTATATTCTTTAATAATTATATTTAATTATTAATAATATAAATAACAATATCATTAAACTATATTTAATCTCTCTTGGGGCACCACCCTGTAATCAGGAAATATAACCAAAATATCACTCAAATCAGTTACTTAATTACTAATATTATTAATAATTAATAACTATATTTAATAAATTGAAGGCATGAAATCCGTACACAAAGCCCTCGCACCCAGCTTATATCACAATGTAAATACACCAGTAATCACAAACAACTGCTCTCTTAAATTATAACTGAATATATTTAAACAAAGCAACATCAATCCAAAATCAATTAACTTAATCAAACCAATAACTGTTACAAACTAATCTAAGCAACAAACATTATCAAGCAAAACTTGTGAATGAAGTGTAAGTGTAAGTGTGTGTGTGTGTGTGTGTGTGTGTGTGTGTGTGTGTGTGTGTGTGTGTGTGTGTGTGTGTGTGTGTGTGTGTGTGTGTGTGTGTGTGTGTGTGTGTGTGTGTGTGTGTGTGTGTGTGTGTGTGTGCATGAGAGAGAGAGAGAGAGACAGAGAAAACAAGATAGTGGAGAGAGACAATGCACCATGTGGCTTTGTCACATGGTGACAAAATGGTGGACAACAAAGGAACCCGTGTGGCTACCTTTCTGAATAGTTTGAGCTCTCTGAGCTGAGTTCAGTAACTGTTACTTAAACACCAGAAAGCCAGTGGCTCAGTGCAGAGTTCAGTAGGAGAAGTTTCAATGGACTGAGTATTTTGAGCAGCTAAGAATGCAGCAGAGAATGAACTGGAAGTGGAGGAGTTAATGTAACGAGAGTAACGCATGGGAAGGAGAGCATTTGATGACAAAGAGAGACACATTAATAATAATGGCACTGTGATCTGAAAGGCAAGGGTCTATTATTTCCAAATTGTTAACAGGAAGACCACATGACAAGACCAAGTCCAATGTGTGGCCATGTTTTTGAGTGGGACCTGAGACATGCTGTGTAAAATTAAATGATTCAATTTTCACGGGAATATTGAAAGTGCCAGAAGCCTCGAAAGGTCCAAGTCCTGTAGTTGAATGAATTGTCGAAGTGGAGCTCTGCAGAAGGGGACAGGGACCCAGAGAATGTCACTGACTTACAAGCCGGTCTTTTCCGGTTGTGCACGCCGTAGTGGGGCATTCAAAGTTCCTGTGTGGAGGCAGAGCAGGAAGGGTTTCAAACGTTAAAATGTTTGAAAGGACCCGCGATCCTACTCAGTTCAGGTGTAGGCCATCTGGATGTCAGCGATATCCAGCACTTCAGCGCGGGGGAAAAAAAAAACGCCGGCATTACAGATTTTCACATTGGACATTGGACCAAAGCTGGCACAGTTGTCTCAGGATCAGGAGGGGCAATGGCCAATGGAGGGAAATCCTGCATGTTGAGGATGTGAAACTTGTTGTCAAGCAGGATTCCCTCGTTTGTCGAAAACTCGGAATGTCTGCCACTGTGTGTCCCTTTGCTCACAACAGTCCATTCTATGGCAGGGTCCGTCCAAGGAGTAGAGCTGGCTTGTAGAGCAAAAGTCTGATCAGTGAGAAAGAAAAAGAGGGAACTGTAAACAAAAGGACTGATGATAAGAAAAGTAAAAGGCAGATTATTTACACGATTACACAAATTCCACGTCTTCGTCAAGGAAACGTCCCAGCTCTCTTCTCCTCCGCTCTCCACCAAGTTAAATCAACAAGAAAAACCTAAACCTAAATCCAACCGTCCCCGGGCGCAGTGCTCGGCCCCTGAGCCAAGTATAACATCCCAATAGCGGTCGCTGGATACTAGCGCTGGATCTCCTGCTCCTGCATCGTCTCGGCAGTGTGCTACCCTCTAAATGGTCAACCTGAAATTCCACCAGGTTTTTCAAAGTCCCTTGTGGCATCACATACTGTTTCTCTGGTTTTAAAGTAGTCGATATTATTCAAAATGTCCCTGCCATTCTTGATCGTCACCCTTCTGCCCACACTGTGATTGTACACGCTAGTGCCAATGATGTCATGGTAAGGCAATCAATTACACTTCAATCAGCCTTTGGGGGTGGCTGTTTATGTAAAATCATGTTTTTCTGTTTCTGTTTTACATGCAGTCTCTGTGCGTAATTGCTTTGAATTTATAGCTTTAAAGGTAAATGAGGGGTCAAATAATTTGTTTGTTATAATAGGGATTTATAGACCCCCATTAGCTGAAACTGGATCCATTGACTGTCTAGCTATATTACTCTCTCAGTATACAAACTCTGAAATCATAGTTATGGGTGATCTAAACTTGGATTGGTTGACCAAAAGCTCTGATTATCTGAAGAAAATCTCATCCAGTCTCAATTTAACTCAACTAATTATTGAACCCACCAGACACAAATTGAAGAATCCTTAAAGATCGACTTTGATTGATTTATTGTTCTCAAACAGAAGTGAAATAAATACTGCAAGTGGTGTCTTTGACTTAGGTTTAAGTGATTGATAGTACAAATTTTCATGAATTCATACATTTTGGTAACTTGGCAAATGAACCATTTAAAGCTGTCTACCATCTAAGAGTAACTCTTCTCTTAGGTTGAAGCTGTAACAATATATATGTAAATCATCTCATAGCAGCAGAGTTATATTTGGTTTGGAGCGTCTGACATTTGGTTTGGAGCGTCTGACATTTTCGAGTCAAGCTGATATCTGCTTTCTTGCCTTATAGAGATGTACTGAAGTAGCCAAGAATTTGTAAGATGTACCTTCTAGCAGAATATAAGTAAGTCTGTTAACATAGAAACTTTGTCAGTACTTTTTCAGTTTTTGATTGTTAACAATTTGTGTTCTGTTGTAACTGTCTGACCTCGGCCGATTTAACAGTAGAATATCCAGTCTGTTTCGTGATTTCATCATTGGATTCATACAGCAGCAACAATTTCCACCCAACAGTGATCATTGACCTATTACTTGTATTAGGGATATGCATCTAAAGAGAACTTCTTCACATATTTTAGTTAAAAGAAATATGAAACATTTTAATGAACCTGCTTTTATGAATGACCTATTTGAGAGCAACAGCCATCTTACATCTTAATTTCAAGATACTGAACTAGCCTTCGACTTTTTTACTAATAAGTTCCTCTCTGTGGTAAATAAGCATGAACCTTTTAAAAAAGTTAGGATCTAAAAATAGATCTAGTCCATGGTTTTCCCCTGAACTGTCAGCTGGATTTCTATCAAGAAACAAAGCTTGGTCCTTAGCTAGATGCACGGGAGAGGCACTGAGCACTCAGAAATAAATGCACTTCATTTGTGAGAAAAGCTATAAATTGGTTTATTACTTGAATTTGGTCTCTAGCTGCTATTGCAACCCTGCAAAATTCTGGAAGGTGGTAAACTCTAATAATAGCAACGCTGCTACCTTCCTACCTAATACTCATGTCAGGTTTGACAATTGCTTAGTGAATGATCCTAGTAAGATATGCTCTGCCTTCAATATTCACTTCGTAGCGGCCGGTCACATCTTTGAGGATGTGGATAAAAGATCACCCCCTCCAAGTATTGACCTTCCTCCCACTGACAATGGCTGTATTCCCAATCTAAATCATACTTCTCAGTTTAACTTATCTCCTGTCTCAATCAGTGTAGTTATAGAGGCTCTTCAAACCTTAGATCCTAAGAAATCTACCGGTGAAGAAAAACTGGTTCCTCTCTTTCTCCGTCTCTCAGCCTCTCTGATTGCTGAGCAATTTACTCACATTTTTAACGTTTCCATTTCATCCGGAGTAATTCCCAAAGTATGGAAAACCACTTATGTTACCCCTTTACATAACAGTGGAGATACGAGTGACCCTAATAATTATAGGCCAATTTCCAAATTGCCTTGCTTATCAAAATTGTTAGAGTCTCTCATGAATCACCAACTCAAGGAAATTCTCTCAACAAACTCTGTTTTAAGCCCACATCAGTCTGGGTTCAGATCTCTGCTGTGATCTGCAGTGTCTGCTGTCACACTAGTGTTGAATGATGTTGTCAATGCTTTGGAAAAAAAACCCCATTGTGCTGCCATCTTTGTCGACCTCTTCAAAGTATTTGACACTGTTGACCATTCATTGCTTTTGCTAATTCTTGGATGCATGGTTTTTGAACTACCTTACCGACCAACGGAAATCAATGAACCTGGGAATCACAACAAGCTCTGATCTGAAAACTAGGAGGGTCTTATCAGCTAGGTGGGTGAATCGAAACTTCCTTTGAGTAGAGATTGATAGTGGGTCATTGTCAGGCTTTGTTTGGGCTGAGCACTTCAGTTTCATTCTCTGAGCATCAACAGGAGAGGCAGTTGACGCATGTGACACCATCTGTTGATTGCAAGCTGAAAATCTGGGGCTGGATTTTCACTAAAATCCAAGTTTAAAAGAGTCTGAATCTGAAACTGCCAGCAGAACAAGCTCTGATCTGAAAACTAGGAAGTGTCTGACAATTCAACGTGGCCACAGAGCCTGGGCATCCACGACTACTGCTTTGCCTATTTCCTCTGGTCATCTGTTAAATGCAACATGTGCTACAAAGAAATCTCTGTCATTCATGGGAACAGAAAGAGACACACCTGTCATAGACAATGCAATCTTAACAACTTGTCTCTGCTAGTGATGTGAAAAGCAGTTCTTTTCAGTGTACTGAATCAGTAGAATCAGTTCAGTAAAGTGATTCATTTCAAAAGATTTGTTCACCGTATCGTTCAGTACTTCTCCACAGCTCTGCCTACTAATCAGAATTTAATAAGCTGAAACACGGCTGAAATCTTAGTTCTGCTCGTGATCATACTGAGAACGGTCGGTGGTGAATAATAAGCCAATGAGCTGAGAATTTAGTTGGATAAAGCTACAGTTTGCCAACTGAAAGTGGTTAAAACAATCATATATATCAGTGCAACTGAATTTGAGAAATGAACGACTCTTTTCAGTAAGTGATTCAGTTCAGTTTGTTCACCCAGATGATTCGCTCTTTTTAAACGGATTGTTCACAAACAACACATCACTAGTCTCTGCTTAAGAAAGCCTCTTCTCCCCACCCTTCATTTACTTTTGGCCTCTGGAACGGTCAATCTGCTGCAAATAAAACTGAATTCATCCAAGCACTTGCAAAAATGTCAAACATTCAGGCACTTGCCCTAACTGAAACTTGGATCTGCCCAGAAAACACTTGATTTAATTCTGACTCGGAACTGCTCAACAGCAAACCTGACTGTCACCCCTCTGCATCTATCAGACCACTTCTTTATTCAATTCACAATCTCCTTGCCGGAACTCCCTCAGGCACAGCCATGAATGGTTTCATACCACCAAAACATGTGATCGCTCAAGCCAGCTCAGCTGTCTAACGAGGTAATGGCTGCCATGCCTGCCCATAAGGTCTTTACCACACTCTCTACAGACGAGGCTACAGACATACTCTGCTCCACACTAGCCTCATCTCTGAACAAACTCTGCCCTCTGGTGTCCAAACCCGCTCGCAAAACCCACCCTAGTCCATGGCTCACTGAAGTCATAGGAGAGCAAAGAGAAGGGCTGAGGGCAGCAGAGAGAAAATGTCAAAAATCCAAACAGTCCGCTGACCTCAATGACTATAAGCAAAGACTTGTCTCATTCTCCTCCAGCCTGAAAACGGCCAAGACAACATATTATCAGAAAAAGATATGCAATGCCACAGATACAAGAAAAATGTTTTCTGCTTTTAACTCACTGCTTCAACCACCTCCTCCTCCACCCTCTGATCTGTTCACACCAGACATGTTTGCCTTGTATTTTACTGAAAAGGTTGCAACCATCAGTAACCAGTTTTCTGAGCATGACCAACTCAGCCCAAAGGCATCAACCAAAAGTGCCCAATCGACTCATTCTCCTCTCTGACTGAGGATGAAGTCTCTAAGCTTGTGCTAGACTCTCGGCCCACCACCTGTCCTCTGGACCCAATACCATCAAGCCTCCTGCAGACCATTTCCTCTGCGCTTAATGCTGCACTTAAGCATATCATCAACTCCTCTCTATCAATGGGTTTGTTCCCCACCGCTACTGTCAGTAACAGAATTGCTACGAGCTGCAAGAGCTGCGGGTCAGTCATCAGTTCTATTACTGCTAGACCTGTATGCTGCCTTTGACACAGTCAACCATCAAATCCTCCTATACACGCTATCTGAACTTGGCATCTCAGGATCTGCCCTCTGCTGGTCCGTGTGCTACCTCTCTGGGCGATCTTTTAGAGTGTTGTGGAAGGGAGAAGTGTCCAAAGCGCACAGTTTATCCACAGGGGTATTCCAAGGGTCAGTGCTTGGTCCCCTTCTCTTCTCCATATACACAAGCTCACTTGGTTCAATAATCCGCTCTCATGGCTTCTCATACCACTGCTATGCCGATGCTACCCCCTGGTGGTGGAATGAACTTCCAAACTCCATTCGATCTGCAGTGTCCCTCTGCACCTTTAAGAAAAAGCTAAAGACCCAGGTCTTTCATGAATACATATGACCTTAATGATGAGGATGACGATGGTCTCGATATTATAGATGATGATGATGGTAATGACGATGGTTTTTGTTTGATAATTACAACTTTTAAGATGGTTTCTATGCTGATTAGAGCTCTCAAGAACTGCCGTCAATGTTATGCTTTGCCTCTGTGCAATGCGTGTCAGCACCTGTGTGTCCAATCGGATTCAAAGCTGTTTACCATTCTGCGCTTAGATTCATTTCCGGCGATAAAGTTGGTTGGCCCTCCCTTACTGAGAGACGCAATAACCACTGGCATCTTTTTAACTATAAAGCCCTTACCGGAAAGCTTCCATCTTATGTCACCACCTTGTTACATCTGAACCTTGGTCCATTTTTAACATTTTAGAAATATTACTTTTAACCGCCCAATACCTGACTGTAACTGTTTTATTAGACAAATTGCTGACTTATCATTGTAGTCATTTCAAGCTTTTTTAAATTATTTTAGTGTATATATTTTATTGTTCTTATTGCTCTTTTATTGATTTTATTTTCTGTGGTAGTATGTTAAATAAATAAAGGTTGATGATGATGATGAAATCTTGGAATTGCAAGTAAAACGTTTTACTTTTAAGAAGACCTTTTTTTGCTTCAATGAGATTATATCTCTCTTGAAGTCTTAATTTTGTTTGCAATTTCAGAAGTTTTGGTAAGAATATGATTCCATAATGTAAGCTTGTTTCATGGTGCTCAGCTTGTTTTTAGGTTTGGAGTCACACAGTGTTCATCATTCCTGAAGTGTTTAACAGTAGCACAGACTCAAAGAAAGAAAAGGTGTCTGACCTCAGAGTCTCCAGTCTGCAGTTTGGACTCTGCAGATAATCACACAGCAGCTTCACTCCTGAATCCAGCAGCTTGTTGTAGTTCAGGTCCAGCTCTCTCAGATGGGAGGGGTTGGACTTCAGAGCTGAGGCCAGAGAAGAACAGCTGATCTCTATGAAACTGCACTCACTCAATCTGAATAGAGAATAAATGAAGAATAAAAATAATGTATAATCCACTCACATGTGTTCAGGTTGTGATGAGTATCCCAACATCACTTTGTCCTGATGAATAAAGTTTTCTCTAAATGAACAGAGGATCATTTCTGATTGTGTATTCACTGAATCTAAATCCTCCAAATGTCAGCACAACATTCATACAGCTGTTCATGTGCACAGATGAATAACAGGCTGCTGATCTCAGTCAGCTCTGTGATGTTAGTACCTTTATCAAATCAGACACTATTGAATCATAAGTCTTCATGAATTAACTTCTTAACAGAACCAGAGGAAACCAGAGGCTTCACATAGTCAGAAAACAATTCCACGTCAAATCTTGTAATTCAGATTTCAGCTGATTCAGCAACTTGAAAAACATCCGAGGATGAGTATTGAAATGACACAAATGAATGACACAGTTAGTCATCTGACCTCAGAGTCTCCAGTCTGCAGTTTGGACTCTGCAGATAATAATACAGCAGCTTTACTCCTGAATCCAGCAGGTTGTTTCTGCTCATGTCCAGCTCATTGAGATGGGAGGGGTAGGACTTCAGAGCTGAGGCCAAAGAAGAACAGCTGATGTCCGACAAACTGCAGTGCCACAATCTGAATAAAGAAGAAAAGATTTAAATGTAGATGACAGTGAGCTTTATGCATGAATGTGTGATGTTGTCCACATGAACACATTGACGTGATCATCATCTGTTCATTTCAACATTGAAGGACTTTATTAGGGTGCATTAATACTTTAGTTCTTCTTGATCCTTCTTAAACCCTTTTCACACATCTCCTGAAAAATCCGGAGATTAGGCTACCCGGAGGGGCTTCAGGCTATATGTGAACGCAAACCGAAAATTTTCACACGGACTTCACCTAGATTTCTCCGGCCAGGCCCCTAGTATTTTTTCCACAGAAGTCTGAGTGAGCTGATGTGAGAACGCAGCAGCATATTCTCCAGAGAATTCTGTTATGCTTTGGTCTTAGTATGTTTGGTATTTTTGTCTAGTTCAAAGTTCAGGTTTCCTTGTTGTTATTTTTCATGTCTATCCTAATGTTGCTTGTTCACTTTGTGTGTTATCTTAGTGTTTCTTTAAATTAATGTTTCCTAGTGTTGATTGTTTCCTAGTTTAGCCTTCAGTGTTTTGTACCCTTGTGTCCCTCTATGTTCTAGAGGTTACATTCTTGAGTTTCTCTGTGTCTTCAGTGTTTCATGTATTCATTTTGTAGTTGTCCTCAGTGTTTCTTGTCTTGTGTTCATTCCTGCCTCTGTGTGTTTCCCTCCAGTTTGATTTCCCTGATTGTCTACACCTGTGTCGTAGTCTCACCTATGTCTGATTACCCCATGTCTATTTAGTCTCTGTGTTTCTTCCCCTTTGTGTTAGATCATTGTTGAAATTTATTGTGTGTCAATAGATATCAGTTTTCCTCGTGCTCCTTGTGGTTTCCTTGTGGCTAGTTTTTTCCTTCAGAAGGTTGTGTTTTTGTTTTGACTTTTTGCTTAAATAAATATTTAAGTTTGATTCTGCAATTAGGTCCACCTCCTTAGTTTTTTACAGACCATGACAAATTCACCTAAAGCCAATGGGACCCCAGAGACATTTGTATACAGTAACTGCCACACAGTGCCTGAAGTGTCTGCACAAGGCCACTACGATCTCCGTGCACATAATTAAACGGATGCATTATGTTTTCTGTTCGTCAGTATGTTGTTCTCCACTCTTTTCTGGATGTTGTCATTCCGTTGGACTACACTTAACATTGATATAAAGGCAAATATTCTCATTATAACATTGTGTAGTGGTCTAGATATTATCCGGAGTGCATATGTGAAAACGGCTTTAGATTCAAACACTAAAAGTTCTGGTGAGGAACTTTCATTACGTGTCCATTTTGGGGCCCCCTGTGGACAAAGTGAAACCTCTTATCTCTTTACTGATCTTGTCCTGTACAGTATTCCCTAACAAAACACCCCTCATGCTTTATTTGAACTCTACAAGCTACAAGTCAGTGTGAATCTCTTCAGTAGAAAATGTAAATAAAGGCTTTTCCAGACAGCGTCTCCTCATGTGACAGCGACCAGGTGGAATCATCAAGAGAAATCAGGATTCATTTCAGTCTGTTTCATCAGCAGATTAAACCTCCTCACAGTACGTTTCAAATCATTCCAGTATCTGGAATACCTTAACAGGATATAGAAACGTTATCAAAACTCAATCTAAACTTGCTCTAATGATAAACTCTCTGACTGGTCACGCCTGCCTCCTCTGTGTTTCTATTTGAAATCTTCAAGCAGAGCTTGAATCCTGCATTGGTGTGACTCTTTGGCCTCTGTTAGACTGTTTATGACTCTTAACTCTGTTTGAATGCTAACCACACCACCCAGCTGATGGAGTTAACTCTGGACCAGTTACATCAACACCGGCATTATCTTGTAACGTGGCTGGTACAAGTGGAGAAGTTAGCGGCAGGTAGTAATTAGCAGAAGTCCCGGGATAGCTGGTTAGCATCAGATAGCTGACAGACAACAGAGGGATTTCCACACAGCACTTTCATTCTACCATACTTCATATGGAGCACACAAAGCCATGTCTCTACGCTGCTGTATTCACTCATCAAACATGAGCAGTAATATAAAGACGTAATCTGCATAAACGCATCACTGAGATTCAGAGTCCTTCTCACCATCTTACACACATGAAGACGGATGTCAGAGATCAACAACTTCACACACTCAAAAAATAACAGAGGCACCACCTGGTGGAGTTATTTGGTACTACAACAATATTCAGACTGTTACAATCTCTGACTGATGGAGCACAATGTTGAGTCTGTTAGCACAGAAAACTATCCAATCACATATTTCAGTTCTATCCTTTGAGTAACTTTACATACTGTTCAGACATTTGGAAGGATCGACATGAACAAAATACATTTCCTCAGATTTTAACACAGGGTAAGACTGAAAAGGTAATGATTTGGTCTTGTTTAGTTTTGTATTTGCAGAGTTCAGATTTAGTGTTTCTTGCTTTTTTCCTTTGTGTGTTTGTTTAATGTTTCCTAGATTAGTCTTTAGTGTTTCCCTGTTTTTATTTTGTAGTTCATGTCCTTGTGTTTCTCTGTTCTAGTGTGTATGGTTAAATTCTTGAGTTGGTCTGCTGGTCTGACCGCTAATCTTTCGTGTCATCTTTTGTGTTTGCTTTTTTCCACATTTTCGCCGCATATAAACATCACGTTTCGTTTTGCATTCATTCTTTTTGTAAACAACTCATTTTTATCTGACTAGAGATAACTTGAATTGGCCAACAAGTTTTGTCCCTAGTTAGTTATTTCACAAGAGTTTAATTCTTTTGATATACTCGGAGCCACTGAGACAGACGACACGGCTTCAGCTGCTGAGCATCAACTTTACATTGCTGTGTGACGTCACTTCTACCTGACTGTTGAGACAGTCATTTGGCTGGTAGAAGTTCAGGTGGATCAGAAAGCGATCTATCGCTACCTTTGAGCTTGACCACACGGGGGAAGTTTGACTGAACATCAATAAAGTAACCTTTCTTGAAACAGCTTCTGCCTGGAGAGATTTCGAGAAAGGGTCGTTGTCCAACATATCAGTAGCTTCAGGTTATTAATTTCTCACAACATAATTCTCTCAATCACATTTTTCATTCAGATCATTACAAAACCATTTATCGTTTTATTTGTTACTTTCACCATTATGACGCTACTATGATCGGTCAATTAGAATCAAACTATATTTGTCATACAACTATATCATTTCGGTATTAAAGTCATACAAATTAAAATCTTTGATATTTACTTTATTAATCTGCAATATTGTTCACAATTTCTGTAATAAATTCTTACATAATCTGTTGGGCCACGCAGGCTTAGGACAGTCAAACAATGAACATGGGCCTGCACCTCTGTAAAAGCCTCATTTGAGTTATTCACTGAGATCACAAAGAGGACTCTTAATCCCAGAATCCCCTGCGGTACTTCACACCTACGCGTGAAGTAAGGGGGGACCGGAACCTCTCTCTCCTCATTGGAGGGGACCTGAGGTAGACCCCCCATGGAGCAGGCCAGGCTACAAAGCTCCAAGACTTCCATTGTTCTCTCTCTTTCCACGCACTGACTTCAAGTGCTCGGAGACCCAAGCTCACCTCCTGTTTTCTGCAACAAATCTTCCTTTGTTTTAAAGTTTTGGCGCACAGGTAATCCGCGGCCAGCAGTGTTCGAAATTCTGAGCTCGGATTGTCCAGTGAACGCATCTCAGTTTCTCGGAGAGCGTCAGACTATAATAGATTATCAGAACGATAACGGTCTTATTCCGTCCTGCAACGAAAGGACATCAAAGGACATCTTTCCACTCGACAGAGAACCATCGAAGCCGCTCTTGCCGTAAGGTACCCTCGCCTCCATCAGACGCCTCTGCACCAGGACGGACAGAAGATCTGCTCCATCGCTGGACTCTTTTCCTTTCACCAATCGCGGGCAAAGCGATTCACAAGTGAGGCTTAATTAGGTCTGGGCAGAATTAGCTTTAGAGAGTGTTTTTAACAATTGTTGATCAAAGCAGAAACTGTAATTTTTTATCTTTGTTGGACCGCTGCGTCCTGAGTTTTACCTGTTTTAAAACTCTTGTTGTTGTTTCGGACCGCTGCGTCCTATATATGTTTAGTGTAACAGTGTTATAACCGGGTATTACTCTTCTGATCAGAAAGGCCAGTGTAAGCCGTATTAACTTGAATTCGGCTATTGGTTTGTTTCTGTGAATGAAGGGAATTCATGGCAACATCTCCGAGTTGTGGCGCGGGAGTCGGACTGTGATCCGGCCTCTTCAGGCACGCATTTCTCTTTTATTCTCTTTTATCCTCTTTTATTTCCCCCTCTACGAACATACACCCACACACATTCCCGTGTAAACGTACATCTGGAGACTAACTCCACCACCGCACCATTACGCACATAGGCCACACACACACACACACACACACACACACACACACACACACAGAGATCTATTCACTCCCTGTCATCCAGGCGCCTCAGAGACACAGATCGTGTAGGGCCGAACTCGGTCTCTTTTAGACATTAAGGCCACATTAGGTCTTTGTTAGGTGTACGCCATCGGAAGGGCGACCACGTGGGACGAAGCAACCTTCCCCCCCTTCACGCACGCACGCACGCACGCACGCACGCACGCACGCACACACACACACACACACACACGCCTTGCTTGATAATGTTTGTTGCTTAGATTAGTTTATGATAGTTATTCGTTTGATTAAGTTCATTCATTCTGTTATAATTTTAAGAGAGCAGTTGTTTGTGATTACTGGTGTATTTACATTGTGATATAAGCTGGGTGCGAAGGCTTTGTGTACGGATTTCACGCCTTCAATTTATTAAATACAGTTATTAATTATTAATAAGGACCCCTTTAAATATTTAATGATGCATCTGAAGGGGCTAACCTTTAATGCATTCAAATTCAGACACAATTTTTATTATACACATATAGTACAGTCAGTGATCTGACCTCAGAGACTCCAGTCTGCAGTTTGGACTCTGCAGTCCAACAGACAGCTTCACTCCTATATCCTGCAGGTAGATGTTCCAGCTCAGGTCCAGCTCTTTGAGAAGGGAGGGGTTGGACTTCAGAGCTGAGACCATGACGTCACAGTGAGTCTCTGAGAGTCCACAGCCAGAAAGACTGTTGTGGCATATAATAGAAAAATATGACTTTGATATGTAAGTCTCACATTTAATGATTTAACAGTTTGACATGTCCTGTTTTGTCTCAACTTTACACATCAGTGGAATCTGTCACTGACACAAAAAAGTCTCATCACTCATTTTCAAACCTACAAATTTTTCATCTTTCAACCGTTTACTTAATGTTGCAGATGAATGGAAACAAATGCAGTTTTATTTAGGATTACTTAATGGCTATCTGTGATCGAAAGTGTGATCTATTCAGATTGCTCTCTCTGGATTAGAAAACCATTTTAAACCCACTGAACAGTAACTCTCGAGGAAGAGGATCTCATTCTTGTGCTGTATGGCACTCTTCTATAAAAGGGACTGCTGCGTAATGATCCAGAAATAAAACAAGTCAGCAAAGAATAAAACGTAGTGAGGTCAAGGATCTCCTGTAAGAACAGTTATTCTGTGATCTACCTGCTGAGATTTTAAGAGATGATGCTCATAATTGATTTGTAATGCCTTCAGAGGCTGGAAGGGGGCGCTCACAGCATCTGATATCTCCCTTTTCAGGAATTAACACTATCAGCCATCTCAGTCAGTTCTTTGGGAATTCCCTCCTGAATGTGTTCACAAAAAATATCAAAGCAATTTTTGAACTCAGGCCAAAAAGCTAAAACAATATATATATAAAAAAACTACGACTGATTATTTTTGCTGAACATTAACAGTGGAACACTATTTGATGAACAGTGAGGAAAAATAAATTAGTAAATTAGTACATGACACAGATTTATAATACTAATCACATCTGGACTTACTCTGCCTTCCTGCAGTTCCTCACAGCTGGAATTAGTCTCAATCGCCCCTGGTCTGATGTGTTGTGCTTCTTCAGGTCCAACTCATCCAAAAACTCCTCGGACATCTGCAGCATGTAGGCCAGAGCAGAGCAGTGGATCTCAGAGAGTTTTTTCTCTGATCTGTTCTCTGATTTCAGGAACTCTTGGATCTCCTGATGTACTGAGAGGTCGTTTGTTTCTGTCAGACAGTGGAAGATGTTGATGTTTCTGTCGGGAGAGAATTTGTTCTTCATCTCCTTCAGGTTTTTGATGACTCTCTTGATCATTTCTGGACTGTTGTCTGTCTGACCCAGAAGGCCTCCTAAGATTCTCTGGTTTGACTCCAGAGAAAGACCATGAAGGAAGCGAACTAACAGATCCAGGTGACCGTTCTTACTTCTCAGGGATTTCATCATTGCTTTATTTAGGAGAACTTAAAGAGTTGAATCTATATATGTTTTTCCCAGAAATCCCTTCAGAACTATTGTGTTCCTGTTGGTGAAGCATGTAGACTGCAGCCAGAAACTCCTGAACGCTCAGATGAACAAAGCAGTAGACTGTTTTCTGGAAGATCACACACTCTGTTTTGAAGATCTCTGTACAAACTCCTGAGTACACTGAGGCCTCTGTGACATCCAGACCACACCGCTCCAGGTCTTCTTGGTAGAACATGATGTTTCCGTTCTCCAGATGTTCAAATGCCAGCCTCCCCAGCTTCAGAAGAACTTCCCTGTCGGCCTCCATCAGCTCATGTGGACTTGTCTCACGTCCCTCATCATACTTGTGCTTCTTCCTCTTTGTCTGAGCCAGCAGGAAGTGTGAGTACATGTCAGTCAGGGTCTTGGGAAGCTCTCCTCTCTGCTCTGTGGTCATCATATGCTCCAGAACTGTGGCAGTGATCCAGCAGAAGACCGGGATCAGACACATGATGTGGAGGCTCCTGGATGTCTTGATGTGTGAGATGATTCTGCTAGACAGATCTTCATCATCACTGAACCTCCTCCTGAAGTATTCCTCCTTCTGGGTGTCAGTGAAGCCTCGTACTTCTGTTAACCTGTCAACATATGAAGGAGGGATCTGATTGGCTGCTGCAGGTCGAGAAGTTATCCAGATGAGAGCTGAGGGAAGCAGATTACCCTTGATGAGGTTTGTGAACAGTATGTTTAACGATGACTTCTGTATGACATCAGACACATCCTCAGTGTTTTTGAAGTCCAATGACAGTCTGCTTTCATCCAGGCCGTCAAAGATGAAAAGAACTTTACAGACAGCCAGCATCCCTGCTACGACCTTCTGTAATGCTGGATGGAAAACATGGAGCAGCTCAAGAAGACTGTACTGCTTATTTCTGATCAAGTTCAGCTCCCTGAATGAAAGCAGGATCACCAGACTGACGTCTTGGTTCTCTGAGCCCTCTGCCCAGTCCAGAGTGAACTTCTGCACTGAGAAGGTTTTTCCAACACCAGCGACACCGTTTGTCAGAACCACTCTGATGGGTTTCTGTTGGTTGGGTTGAGCTTCTGTCTTTTGTTTCTGTTGGTCGGGTAAGGCTTTTAAGATGTCCTGGCACTTAATTGGAGTCTCATGGAGGGTCTTCTTTTTACATTCTGTCTCAATCTGTCTCACCTCATGTTGGGTGTTCACGTCTTCATTCTGTCCCTCTGTGATGTAGAGCTCAGTGTAGATCCTGTTGAGGAGGGTTCTACTTCCTGTTTCATCACTTCCCTCAGTCACACATTCACATCTCCTCCTGAGACTAACCTTATGTTCATCTAAAACCTCCTGCAGACCTCTATCTACTGGAAGAAAGAATTATAGAATCTGCTTTAAAATGTAATTGTAAAATAAGTAAAAAGAGTTTTAATTTCTATACATTTACCAATAAAAGTCCTGTTTTAGGAGGAGATCACAGAAGCAGAAAGGTGTACTGTCTTACTTTGTTCAGTGCTGCTCTGACTGACTGGCTGCAGTCCAGGTCCTGTTTTGGATCTTTCTCCACACTGAGGACAGGACGAGTCTCCTGGTGAACCAGACTGGTCCCAGTATGAGGTGATGCACTGTCTGCAAAACCGGTGTCCACAGCTGGTAGAGATGGGATCCTTCAGGACGTCCTGACACACAGGACAGGACGGCTGCTCCTCTATAACATGACTCCTCTTCCTCCCCCTGTAAAGACATATCTTTAGAACCAAGCTGATTGTTTACTGATAGAAAATATGAAGATTTATCAAACAAAATCTAAACACTCAGATGACCATAGAGAGCAGGCAACACCTTCTTTCTTATGTTTGTATTCAGCTCATAGTCTGCAGTGAGATGATTGTTTCTTGTATTCTAACCCTCCTGCTTTCATAAGTCGTTTTCACATATGCACTCCGGATAATATCTAGATATTTACAGGAGGACTTCTCCGGAGATTCTCCCGACCTAGCCGTTCACATATGCTCCTCACAGCGGGGGACTATCCCTGTCAGAGGGGAGGGGGCTCGGGGGATTTCCAGAGGTAAGACGTAATGAGAATATTTGCCTTTATATCAATGCTATGTGTAATCCAATGGAATGATAACATCCACAAGAGAGAGGAGAACAACATACTGACGAGCAGAAAAGATAATGCAGCCGTTTAATTACGTGCATGGAGATCGTAGTGGTCACGTGCAGACACTTTATGCACTGTGTGGCAGTCACTGTATATAAACGCCATATGCTGCTGCGTTCTCACATCAGCTCACTCAGATTTTCTGCAGATAAAATATTAGGGGTCTAGCCGGAGAAACTCCAGGTAAAGTCAGCCCGAAAAATGCGGCTGTTTGCGTTCACACATAGACTAAAGTCCCTCCGGGGAGCCAAATCTCCGGAGTTTTTCAGGAGATTTCTGTATGTGTGAAAATGGTTATAAAGACTAAAGAACATCTCTCTCTCACTGTCTCTTGAAACATTAATGATCCCTTCCTGCCCGTACATAGTTACTTGTTGTTCTTTAGATGATATCCTGTCCTATACTAAACACCTTGGATTGTCATGTTCTGCCACTTGTGGCAGACATGCATGTTTAATATGTAAGAGGAAGAGATACTATTTGTTAGAGGTTTGTTAAACATAAATAAAAAGAAGATTAAAAAAAAAGGAGTTAGTAAGAAGACTTACTTTGTGTCTGAGGGTCTAGGATCATTTCTGAAGCATAAAGGAACATCTTTGGACTGATCACTCTTCAGAGACAGACAGCTGGGTACAGGAGTCTCTGCTTTCTGTCCGCTCCACTGAACTCTGCAATAACAAACTTGTTTTATATTCTGTTTTATAAAAAACAAAAAAACAGAAGTCTGGGCATCCAGACAAGGTAATGTTCTTGTTTTGAATGACCAAACTGCACACAGTGGTGATACGGAAAAGATCACTGCACAAATACTCTAACATTTGACAAACAGAATGGATGACGGGTATAATAAGGAGGATTTTTAAAGATGATCAAATGATTTCTCTTTGAATCAGACAGTTTAAGCTGGTAGATTGATGTGAGTAGAAATTAAATGTGAAGTGAAAATTAGTTAGTAAGAAGACTTACTTTGTATCTGAGGGTCCAGGTTCATTACTGAAGTCTGGGGGAGAATCTTTGGACAGATCACTCTTCAGGGACACACAGCTGGGTACAGGAGACTCTGCTCTCTGTGTGCTCCACTGAACTCTGCAATAACAAACTTGTTTTATATTTTATTTTATTTAAAAATAAAACAGAATTCTGGGCATTCAGACAAGGTAATGTTCTTGTTTTGAATGGGGGGGGCCCTATTCCATCAGCCCGACAAAACCAACAATGTGGAACCGCTGCCCTGTAGGCCCACCACCCACAGTGAGAGACGTGGTGCATGCAAAGCCGGGTGGCAGGCGGAGGGTTAGGGCAGCACAGACCACTTCAGGGGATGTGGAACGTCAACTCTCTGGCGGGGAAGGAGCCGGAGCTGGTGCGGGAGGTGGAGTGCTACCAGCTAGACATAGTTGGGCTCACCTCAACGCATAGCACCGGCTCTGGAACCAAACTCCTGGAGAGGGGCTGGACTCTCTCTTTTTCTGGAGTTGCCCAGGGTGAGAGGCACTCGGCAGTTGTGTGGATACTCACAAGCCCCTACTGAGCGCTGCTGTGTTGGATTTCTCCCCGGTGAACGAGAGGGTCACCTCACTGCGACTTCAGGTTGCAGAGAGGAAGGCTCTGACTGTTGTATGTGCATATGCATCTAACAGCAGTTTGGAGTTCACGGTCTTCTTGGAGTTTCTGGGTGGGGTCCTGGAAGGGGTTCCGCCTGGGGAATCTGTAGTTCTACTAAGGGACATCAACGCGCGCAAGGGCAACGATGGAGACGCTGGAGTGGGGTGATTGGGAGGAACGGCCTGCCCGATCTGAACCCGAGTGGTGTTTTGTTGTTGGAATTCTGTGCTAGTCATGGATTGACCATAACAAACACCATGTTCAAGCTTAGAGATGTTTATAAGTGTACCTGGTACAATAACACCCCTGGCCAAAGATCAATGATCAACTTTGTAGTTGTTTCGTCAGATCTGCGGCCGTATGTTTTGGACACTCGGGTAAAGAAAGGTCAACTGACGGTTGACCACCACCAACTGATCACCACTTGGTGGTGAGTTGGATCAGATGGCGGGGAAGGCTGCCGGACAGACCTGGTAAACCCAAACGTGTAGTGTGGGTGAACTGGAAACGTCTGGCAGATGTCCCTGTTCAAGGAGTCTTCAACTACTACCATCGGAATAACTTCTCTTTCATCCCGGGGGAGGTTGGGCACATGCAGTCCGAGTGGTACATATTCAAAACTTCCCTTGTGGAAGCTAGGAGTTGCGGTCAGAAGACCGTCTGTGCCTGTCACGGCAGCAACCATAGGACCTACTGGTGGACACCAGTGGAGAAGGAGGTCTTTCGGGCTTGGTTAGCCCAGGGGTCTCTGGAAGCAGCTGACAGGTATCGGGTGGTTCAGAGGGCTGTGGCTTCAGTGGTTGCGGAACCAAAAACCCGGGTGTGGGAGGAGTTCGGGGAGGCTTTGGAGAAAGACTTTCGGTTGGCCTCAAGGAGGTTCTGGAAAACCATCCGACGGATCAGGAAGGGAAAGCAGGGTTTGCCCCAGGCTGTTATCTGCAGGGGTGGAGGACTTCTGACCCGGACCGGGGACATTGTTGGGCGGTGGAAGGAATACTTTGAGGAACTCATGAACCCAGACAACACGTCCTCTGAAGAGGAGGCAGAGTCTGAAGATCCGGGGGAAGCCTTAACACTAACCTTGGCAGAGGTCACTGAGGCAGTCAGAAAGCTCCTCAGTGGCAAGGCGCCAGGTGTGGATGAGATTCGCCCCGAGATGACAAAAGTGGGAGCTGTGTCCGCATCCTCGGCACAAAGTCAGACACGTTCCTGGTGCCTGTTGGCCTTTGCCAGGGTTGACGAGTGAGGAGAGGATGGAATGTGAGATTGACCGACGGATTGGCTCGGCGTCAGCAGTAATGCAGGCGTTGTGCCGAACCGTTTGGGTGAAGAGGGAGTTGAGCCTGAAGGCAAAGCTCTCGATTTACCGGTCAATCTTGGTTTACATCCCTCACCTGTGGTCATGAGCTATGGATAGTGACCGAAAGAATTAGATCGCGGATACAAGCGGCCGAAATGAGCTTCCTGCGGAAGGTGACTGGGCTCGGCCCTAGAGATAGGGTGAGGAGCTTGGAGTAGGACCGCTACTCCTTCGCATCGAAAGGAGCCAGTTAAGGTGGTTTGGGCATCTGTTAAATATGCCTCCTGGATGCCTCCCTTTAGAGGTTTTTACTTGACTATGAATCTTTAATAAACTATCTGATGAAAAATACTATAAAAGCAGCTGTAAATATAAAAAGATAACGAGAAGGCTACCAGGTTTGTTTCTGTTGTCAGGAGGCTTACTTTATGTGTGACGGTAAAGGTTCATTACTGAAGTATGGAGGTTCATCTTTGGACAGATCACTCTTCAGAGACGCACAGCCGCCCCCAGGAGACTCTGCTCTGTCCTCCTCTTCCTCTAAAACACACACTCATGTTCTCATCTGAAGTCAGTCTGAGAGGAAAAAAGAAACACTCACTGTGAGATCAAAACACAAGAAACAAGAGAAACCAGTTTAATCTAATGCTAAACCCAGGACTAGGACACACACATGCGCACACACAAACACCCATCCACTCACACACACACACACACTCTTTCTTACACACACACACACACACAAACACACTCTCTCAGTCTCGCACACACACATTATTGTGTTATTACATGTTATTTGTGTCAGATTTGATCTAACTGACAGGATAACTTAGCTGTCAAACATATGCCACACAATCCATTCCATTCTATTGTATTTAACAGAGAAACTGGCAGTACGTGTGACGTCAGGACGTAGCAACGGCGGCGATGTGCCATACGTCTATCACTACGTACACTGCGACGTAGCAGCGGCATGTTATATATATTTTTCTTTTTTTTCCAAATGTATTTATTAGATATTTTTCTTACAAAGAACAACAAGACACAAACACGTTAAATTTAAATAAGCTTAAATTATAAGAAGAATAAAGACACTGAACTTGAAGGCACAGTCATTGGTACAGAGGCAAAGGATAGTTAGGCATTGTGTTGCTCAACGGATGTCTGATAGAGCCATAAGAAATTGAGGGCCCTTCACAAAGTCCAAGAAGGAAGTCCATATTTCTTCAAACAGTGCGTATTTTCCATTCAAAGGGTATGTTAGTTCTTCCATGGCTATAACTTGTACAATGTCCATTAGCCAGCCCTTTGTAGTCGGTCTCTGTATAGATTTCAAACATTTTGCAACAGTCTGTCTGGCTTGAAGTAGGCTTAGATTGAGATTAATGTCCTTTGGTATAAATCCCAAAACTCTCAATTTTGGGCACATGGGTAGATTCACCTCAGATGTATTAAAGTGTCTCGACAACCTCTCTCCAAAACTCTTGTAACTTTGAACAGGACCATAAACAATGGAGAAGTGACCCTTTGTGTGTTTCATATTTACAGTTTTTTTCGATTGCTATGACATTTTTTTCAGCACTTTTAACAATTTTCCTAAACTCTTAACACAACATCTGTCTGTGTAGGCTATACAAGAAACACATTTTTTGTTGCTTTGACACAAAATGCATACATTTAACACAAATTTAAAATGCTTGAACTACACACAAGCTCAACCAAGACCAAAACAATGGATTTTTACTGCCAAATCTACTAATGATTTCACACTGTATGTCAGAACAGATAACATCATGTTCGAAACCTAACCTATAGGCTAAAGTCAAAGTGAACAGCTGTTCATATTGTAGATTGAAACACAAATATATCCCCTGTATTTTTTCCATTGCTACTGAGAAACAGCTGATTGAAGTTATACAAAAAGATAAATCACAGCTGATTCCCATAGGAACACACTCAGGTGTTGAGGTTCCCACATGTTATACAGTAAAAAAAGGACCTCTTTGAGCTGATCTTGTGTGGAAAAGGAACAATATAGAGCAACATAAAGAATGTAAATACAATGCCTTGAGAGGGAGAGGAAGACGTGTAGCAGGGAGAGGAAGATTCAAGATTTGTCAAATGCTGAACAGATGTGCAGTGAAATGTGAAAGACTGTTCCGCAAGGCCATACAATAAACACTCAAAGATTACTACAGTAATACAAATACAGTAAATGTAGAAATATACTGTAAGATAAGATAAAAAAAGAGAAATATAAATATTCAAAATGTAGAAAATGTAAACAGTGTAAAGAGTAAAGTGTCAGCGCATAAAGTGTCCAGGGTGTCAAAGTGCATACGAGTACCAGGACATGGGAAAGGAGGGAGACAACGACAAGGGAGAGGAATTAGAATGCATGTTGGAGCTCAAAGAAGGACCAGAGCCAGGGTAACAGATGAAATAAGAGCTACTATCATTAGCTCAATTGCTAATGCAAACAAAAGGGGCGAGAGGGGACATCCCTGTCTGGTCCCTCGTTGGAGCTTGAAGGGCTGAGAGGTTACAAAGTTAGTCATAACTGAGGGAGTATGGGGAGTGGTATAACATTTTAATTAATTTCATTTCATTTCATTTATTCTGGTAACATGGCTGATGAAGCAGCCGACCCACCAGTTGAAGCAGTCAACCCAACAACTAGCTTTTTCGATTTTAAAGGATATTTACCCAAACATTTCAGAAAGACACTTTAGTTTTAACATGTATTATCATAGTCACTTTAATCTTATATCCATTACACACTCCCCTTCAAAACAAATCACCATAATGAACCATTACCACCTTTATCAAGTGCATGAAGCAACTTTCTAAACTATTTAGTAGTTCACACCTTTAGTTTAACCACGTAGCCTAAATGTATTAAATAACCATGAAATGTATGCCTTTTCATCCTTATACTTCTTTAATCTGAAATCTAATTGTTGACCACTCCCACTGCCGTGAAATATCACATCTGTTACCAAAAACGCGAATCAGACCATCAAAACATGTGAAGAGTGTGATGATTGCAACTGGCAATGCATACATACAGAATTGCTGCATCTATGTCATTCACTGTAACGATATCTAAGCTCCCAGACACACCGATCATTTTTACCTTTTTGGGCCATCTCCTAAAAACTTCTACGTGTCTCCACCATAGACTGTAAATATTACTGGACGAACCCTGACCCGTCTGTGACATAGGCAGAAAATGAGTCCAATCAACGGCCGCATCCATATTGGATTTGCAGTTTCAACCTAACTTCGGATCAACCTAGCAACAGCAGTAAGGCGGGACCGGCCGGACTTAACTCTGCCCATTCAGCTCGACGTTAGCAGTCCA